GAGAGAGAGAGAGAGAGAGAGAGAGAGAGAGAGAGAGAGAGAGGTGACAAGGATATGAACTATGAAGTGAATGGTTGCATACTTTTGTGTGTGTGTGTGTGTGTGTGTGTGTGTTGTGTGAGGGATATGTAAGAAAATGACACTTTGAAAGATGAGTTGGAGTACAAGGATTTATGAATTTTCTTCTGTAATTTATTGGGAAATGTTTATTTAGTAGAGAGGATTACTATAAAAAATAAGTGGTTTCATTGTCAAATCTATGGTATATATATAGGTATATATGTATTGAAAAATAATTATTTATTAGAAAAAATTGTAAGTTGTTACATCAACATTATTTGTTATTAAAACATCATATTCAATAGCTATATATATATATATATATATATATATATTTTATTTAAAATATTCTATCACTACTCAAAGACAATTCTAACTCTATCCTTTCAAATTGGAATTGGCAATTTGGTAATGAAGTTATATTCAATTGGACATAATATCTATTTCCAAATTAATGTCGGCTTCTTCAAGAAAGAATGTGAAGATTGATGATTGGGCAATTGTTCGAAAGACATTGAAGGAGAGTTGAAGAACAACTCGCTATAGCTTGGGTCAACTTGTTGACCAATCTTTTGCTCAACATCAATCAATCAAACGTATCTGGAATGAATATGAAATTTCATTAAGAGTAAGGCTGAACAGCTAGGTGTTCAAGTATTTAAAAGATAAGAAGACGATTCGATAAGAAGACGATTCAATTATCACGAGTAGTTTATCAAACAGACGTTTGTCGAAATAATACAAATTAAACTTATACCACATTGATCGGAAGATAAGCTTTAATGAATTCACGAATGAAAGAGATCAAGGATCCTGCGTGCTTGAACAATTGAATTTTCAGAGGAACGATTTCATGATGACTAATTTCAATAATCCAAAATTTTCCGAGGAACGATTTAATGATGACTACACTATGTCATTCGATTTCAATAGACCAATGGTTTCTTCAACATCCACTTTGATTTTCACCAACTTCGTTCACACAAATTCTCCTATAAATTCCTATTTTGAATTGAGAATGCTAAGGTAACAAGAGAAAAGAGGCCACAAAGATATGAGGAGAAAGTGTTACAAGTATTTTGTTGGACAAACATATATAAATTAAATGTGTATGTTGTCATAATATTATTCAAATAAAGTGATCTACTAATTTATAATTTTGAATAAAGAGCGTATCAAATTGTTATGGATTTAAAAGTGTAGATACCATTATGCGATTTTCTATTTGTTGAGGGACCGAACTGAAAATCAATATTCTTATTGATTTGGTTATGACCCCAAACGACGAAAAGGTACGAGTAGATTTCGAAGAGGTGCTTTCTCCCTTTAAAAATACCATTCTCTTCATTTCAGAAAAATATATGGAATACACATTAAGAGACATATAGAAAATTACTTTGTAGTATAATACAATATCTGCCATAAGGGTTCGATCGTTATTTGGAAGACCATACCGGTCTAACAAGATCGTTTGGAAGAACACAACACTCTAGCAAATTGAAGAATTCTCAATTCGTGAAGTATGGTATGCTTCCGCTTTCATAGTTTTTGATTCTCTATTGTTCGATATGAATGCTCTGGATTAAAACGATATATTCACTCGCATAAGGTTAAATTTCAACAGAAAGGATAGAGTAATGTATTTCAGTTTTTCACTAGTGTTTCATTATTTCAAAGTGCCTTTGTTTCAAAGTACCTTTTGCATAGTAAAGGAAAATTTGAATGTCAGAGTTTAACATGTGCATTTGTTCATCAAACAACTTTCTAACAAATACTCTCTCTTTGGTAAAAAAATGGGTCGGTACCAAACTCTCTTGTACCAAAATTAGATGTAATAGATCTATGTACGATTTATTACATAGTGGACATGATCCTGTATAATTGATCGATTAGGATCTGTTCATTGGTACATTAGACCATACTGTCACTACACCGGATTTTACGCCGGATTTTTCTTTGGATCAACATGTACATACACATACCCGCACGAGTGTGTGCTGATCAGATAGTATTTACTTGGTCGTCTCGTCTCCGTTTCCTCACTTCCCTCAGCTCGGCTATGAGCGTTACCTATATTTACGTATTTCTTGTTTCACACATTCTCGTCGTGTTGAATCGTGCTTCAATTTCTAGGAAACAAGACCTTTCACGTACTTCTGAATAAATCGGCGCAGGAACATCCTTGAATTGAACCCGTATTTCTGCTTTACTCGAATTCAAAGCTATTCATGCCTTCCCTTGTGTATAAAGTCACACCTACAGCAATTCAACAAGTCGTTATAGGACACACAAAATCTCGATAATGCGACTGTAACTAATGCAGGTTACTTTCTTCAGTCGACTTCAAGACTTTTTCCTCCCTCCCAAGATGAAAAAAACACATAGAAAGAATATCTAATACACATAAATTGATGGAAATGGAATAAGCTAAAACTGAAATGCATTATCTACCTTCCCATCTTAAATTGTGCAAGAGTGAAATTTCTGTTGCAAAAGTACGAGTATTTGAGTTGTCCGCAACTGCTGGATCATTCTTACAGCCTTGATATTGTCCGAGCACCACCTCTTCGTCTTTTATGGGCACGACTGATTGAAGAACCTTAATTCCAAACAAACCATGACCACAAACAGAGGACACTCCAAAATAGAAACAGATCAAAGGGAGAGACTTATTACAGGAATAGAAAGCTTTCTCGCAGACTTCAACATTGTCCAGACATTGGCAGTGCTGTTAGCTAGAGTCAACAGGAACTAGCTCGTGATCATATAAAAATCGGTATTTCGTAGTTCTGTAGTAAAAATTGTGTAAGGATACTGCTTCTTAGAAACATAATTTTTACATCACATCAATGAAGATCAACAGTTTACATTTGAAAGCCCAACTTCAAAAACAGGAGTTACATTACAACTCCGTTCTCTCTAGATGGAAAGCCGAAATTAAACCTGTAAACAGATGCAAAAAGGGAGTTGAAACTCACGCATTCTAGTCGAGGGGCCAGCTGCTAAAACTTGAAAAGCATTCATCGTAAGTTCCAGAGATTTTGAATCAACGCATCACAGATGCCCTATCATTGTAAGAACAGAACTTGCTAGAGCAAAGTCCAAAATGAAAAATTACTAATCAAAAGCACCATTAGCCAAACTGGCACAGGACACGACCGGACCATTTATATCCATTACACAGTTGCAATGGGTGCAGCCGGTGATGAACCAAAAGCAGAGCTCATCCACGACAGCTGGACTAATGACACTCTCTCTTACGCTTCTTACAAGTTCATAGATTCAACCTAAGAATTTGTCTTATCGTTCTGTATTTCATACTGTTCTATGCATATATAATAGGGTGCGTTTGTACTGTCTAGTGAACTAAAGCACTGGTCGGACAAACAATGCTTTTCCTAATTCAGTGACTTCAGCTGCTTTGGCGGCTCGTTTATCGTAAGGGCTTTTTCTCGAGTTTTGTGTTTGAAATGTTGAAATATACAAAACTTGAGGTTGATAATTCTAAATGAAATATATTGTTATATAATATGTCAAATTAATGTACAGCCTGAATAAGAAACTAAACATAAATCTACAACTTTGTAATAAACGTTGATGTGGAGAACGAGAGATTCCCAAGTCAGACTGAAAAACACCCGGAACTAGAGATTCCCAAGGCTAGTTTCTCGTTTACCGTATGCTTCTTCAGCTTGATGGAGATAGGAATATTACCACTTCGCATAGCCGATTTGACTGCTGGGGATTGTTTGCGTTCAAATGGATTTGAACCCGAAATATGACTTACGTTTGTCAGCAGATGAACACAGCTGGCGTGTTAACTGGACACGGCGTGCTTCCAGCTGGCGCTTCTTGAGTCGCTTAAAACCCTGAACAGAAAGGAGAAAAGTACTTTTGATGCTTTTGGTAAATGAACTGTGTTTCAACTAGATGTGACAAATATCACAAGTCATGTAACATGTACCTGAGGTTGAGTTATTACACAGACTGAATTGCGTGCAAACTTGTGCTCCACATTGGAAGAAGATCTTCGTTTGACGCTGAGTATTTCTGAATCAGAATCATCGTATTCTTCATGGGTCCTGTCCGGAGAACAAAGATGTTCAGTGCTGACACCAATTAATCTTACATTTATGTTTATGGGAGGACTTTCATCTGACGCCAACAAAGATGAACCAAATTCAAAATCACGACAAATTCCAGCTCGAGAAGTTTCACTGGCGTTGCACAAGGGAGGAGGACTATGTGGTCGATGTTTTAACAGATCCCGTCTTGGAGAACTTTCCTCATTTAATCCAAATGGCATCTCGCAATTAGGAATATAACTAACCTTCATACGCAGCTCCTGTGAATGTCCTAGATAGCAAAACAAAGTCATCACCATTTCTACAATGTCGTTCAACCTCATGTAATATGCTCTCCTCCTGCTCCAACCACCTTGCCACTTCTTCTAAATTACATACCATGACAAAATCCAGCATGATAAGCTCGAGGAAAAGTTACGACATATTCCCCAGGCTTCTGCACAGCTCTGTAAACAGGAACCTTGTGTTCGAACATTTGGTAAAAAGAACGTTGTCTTCGCTAAAAGGACATCAAAAGCCCCATCTTCCACCAGCTGATAAGATTTCATGTGCATAAACATGATCCCTAACAACACTCTCAAAATCGAGACCTGCATGACCAGGAATGCTATACCAAGTTTTCGCCGCCCCATTGTGATGTTAGTTGATGCTGCAAACACACGTGTGACCCATGAATTAGAAAATAATGAATGAACCAAAATAAAACAGCAATACATATTCAACATGAAAATAAAGGTCCACACCTATACAAGTAATGGTCTTCCACATGCCAAGCAAACATGCTAAACAACATCCCAATGTAAAGCATAGGTTCGGTGACCCCCCGTTGAAGACCAAATATTAATCGAAGCAGCAGTCAAATAATAAATTCAAGAAGGTACCGCAATAGAATTAGCTCTGTACCGGGATTGATCTTTCTAGAAGGCGTAAAACAGATTTAGGCAACCGAAAGATTTTCTGCAGTCAAAAGTAGAAAAGATAATACACGTAATTTCCACATAATGTCGTACTGAAGTTCAGAAAACAAAACAATAGAAAATGATTGGACAAACTACATGGTAAAAGTAGAGTCTGTAGATGAAGATAAACTAAAAAAAAAAAAAGGAAAGCTTGAAATTGATTAAATTAACCACTGTCAAAAGCACTCGCAAAGATCCCAAAACTGAGAACACAAAATCTATATTCTAAACTACAAAAAGAATGAAGTAGGCATAATTATCTCCACAAAGTAAGACTTCCAAATACAGCAAGGAAAGTGTAGCACGTAAACCATAAAGCTGGTCGCTGAAGTTTCGTGGACAATAACTTAAAGAGGATCAAGCAAAAACTAACCAAATTGTATATTTCTTAATCCTGTTTCCATATAAACACTCAATAGACCATAAAAGTGAACTGCAAAATTCCACCATATTTGAATTAGTGAAATGTTTTTCTACAGGCTCAGTACCTTCAAATTCCATTTACTTTTTCCAAGCGGATCATCTGGAGAGGATGAAAATGCACTGCCATCAACGTCGCATGCATATTCAACACTTTCAGTCTTTCCACAAGCTATTTCATTCCAAAATTCTTTTTCAGTCATTCCAAAAAGTGATAAATTTAAAAATATGATTGAATAAGAGAAAAAACAATAATAATATAGAAATACTAAATATTAATTGGTAAGGATGTTTAGATTAAGGATGAAATGAAAAACAATTTTTGTATTTCTTTTTTTATTTTTCTTTCATTCTGAATTCAACAAATTAAATTTTAACTGAATAAACAAAATGATTTTTCTCAATCCCGTGGTATAACTTCTGTTGCTTGATACTGTCCGAGCACCACCTCTTCATCTTTTATGGGCAAGACTGATTGAAGAACCTTAATTCCAAACAAAACATGGCCACAAACAGATAAAAATTCTCTCTCAAAATGTTGTCAGCATACTCCAAAATAGAAACGGATCAAAGGGAGAAACTTATTACAGGAAATGAAGCTTTCTCATATAAAATTTTTCACATCAGGAACTAACTCGTGATCATATAACAATCGGTATTTCATAGTTCTGTCGGAAAAAAAAAATGTGTAAGAATACTGCTTCTTAAAAACAGAATTTTCACATCACGCCAATGACGATCAACAGTTGACGTTTGAAAGCCCAACTTCAAAAACAGAAGTTGCATTACAATTCCTTATGATACCCCTCCGTTCTCTCTAGAGCGAAAACCGAAATTAAATCTGTGAGCAGATGCGAACACAGAGTTAAATTAAAATCACGGGTTTTAGTCGATGGGGCCAGCTGCTAAAACTTGAAAAGCATGCATTGTAAGTTCCAGAGATTTGTGCATCACAGATGCCGGCCCAAAGATTGCGTAAAAAGTCATTCCAGACGTTCCCACACTAAATATATATATTCAAGAACAAAACTTGCTACAGCGAAGTCGAAAATGAAAATTACTAATCAAAAAGTGAACAATCCACAAAATCCCAAATTCAGAAGCTAGCTTGGGAAAAACCACATGAGCGTTGGGAACATCGGTTTTAGGTTAGCAGGATCACATGGATAATAGCACGGTGACACAGTCTTATCTTCATAACTGAAAATGCCCATGTCATGGTTACCTCGACTCCGACACCACCATTCTAAAGGATCCGTAAAGTAAATGGAGTTGGGCTTGAGCTCTGGGAAGTCACTTGCACGCAAGGCAACAGAGTGGTTGTAGTTACCAACGAAAAGAGCCCAACCACCCAAATTCGAACCTTCCACATACTTGAGATCCCCATCCTCCCGATCATATCTATGAACATTGAAATCAATAGTCCTGGCCGGGAGCCCAAAAGCTGATTCTTCTGTCTCGAAGTCAACATACAAACCATCCGAGTCAACAGATAGCATGATGTACTGAGTCACCACCAGGAGATCCTCTCCGGCAATCACCAGGTGGTACTGATGCCAACATGTCAAGTCATCTCTCGACTGTAACAACTTCTTATTCGTATTCTTATTCTTCTTCTCTTTTTCGCGGAGGATACTACTAAACTCACCCATAATTCGTATCAATTTCGGGGATGCAGCCGTCAGGTCCCAAGCCTCCAATTGGAAATTGTCGGTCAGGGCAAAGAGTGTGTGTTGGGTTGTGCAGTAGACGCAATCTAAATAATAGTTGTCTTTTGAATTTGTGCCGAACCATTTCCAACTGTCACTGGACAAAGGGCAGCACACAGCCATTGAATCTCCACAGTAGGTAAGGCTCACGGCCACACAATTTTCAGTGTCTGGAGAGCAAGAAAGGAAGGACTTGTGGAGAATGGGTGCTCTGTTTAGATCAACTGATGAGCCGTAGGAAGGTGGGAGCTTTATGCGGCGGCGGGATATGGGGTTATACAGTAACAGATCGTGGGTTTCTGGCTGCACAAGGGATACCCACCCACCACCGGAGGAACCCCGGAAATTCAGGTCGCCGTGCATTTGTGGGACCTTCATGGTCACGACCCTGTTCTCCGCCAGGCTGTAGAACTTGTAAGTCATCGTGGTGGCGGCCGTGCAGGCAGCGCCGGCTTCATATACGGGTTGCAGCATCAGCAAAGGAGACGATTGATTGATTTTTTCGGGCGACGTCAGCGCCGCCGTGCTCATGCCTCTCCGAAAAGACAAATTACATCCGCGACTCCATTTTCCAGAACTCGAATAGCTAGAAAATCCGGCAAACCGTCGCCGCCCACAAGTCCAAGGGCGCAGGAGCTCGGAGGAAGAAGAAGCCATCAATTAGGTTAATCCAATTTTGCGTTTTCACTCTGACCTATCTTAATTATTTTTAAGAGTCAAAAAAAAAATGAGGCCTGCATTATCTTGTAGAATAATATTTTCAGATTTATCTGATGTATTATAAATTAAAATATAAATTCAATTATTTCTTTTATTGAAGAATAATATTTTCAGATCTATACTTATATTAAAAGGAAACCTATTTACTAAATATAGTAGGTAGAAAAGTCAACTTTAATTAATGAATTTTTAATTTTACCAAGTAGTAATTAATGCATTTATAATTTTAATCAAGTTTCCTATTTTACGTATTGTTTTTAATCCTTCTTATCTTGACATAAAAAAATCCCATAAAATGGGGTGAGCAAAAACAATCAAAATTCTGTTTCTAAAAACTACAAATCAATATTACGATTTTGAATAATACACTAACAAATTATAATATATTTTTATAAAACTTATAAAAAAACTATTAAAAAAACTTGGTTCGTATATTTGTATGGATATTTATATTTTTTTAATATTATCTTTGTGTTAAAAAAAACTATTTAACACTATTCTTTTTTATTATATAATAAAATAATAATTAAATATTATATGATGAACAAGAATAAATAAAACTGTTACTTTTTTCTTATATCAAGAGATAAATTTATATACTGAAATTAAAGTTTTATTAGTATAAATATTTTAGTGAGATAATATATTAATTATTTTACAAGCTAGCCCTAACATACTCATATTTGAGTTCTGGCTAAAAAACACTGCTGGTTAAAAGATATGAAAAAAACTATAACCTTATTATTTTTTAGACTTAACGATGATCAAAAGAGGTAGAAAATAGATAATAACACTATTACTTTTAAGATTAAACGGACAAGGCTGTTAAAACAACTCATTTAATATCTATGTTTCGTGCATCGCACGAGTATGTACTAGTTATGACAAATGAGAGAGTATTATCGGAAACATTTTTTTAATACACCTTTTTAAGTTAATCTTATGAAATTTCATATCTTGACATCGCTAGTTGAATTTGCATTTTCTTTCTGCTAAAAAAAATATTAGAATTTAATAGAGATATATCTGGACCCAATAATATTTATAATTCAATGTAGATATATTTGGACAGAAATTTCACATGTACTTCTTTTGTCAAACCATTGTCTAAAAATATTTCTTCATAATCCAATATCAAGATTATCGGTTTTGCTATAAAGCCAACAGTTGATACAACAAATAAATCTACCATATTGATAAAATTATATTTGTGTTATTTAAGTAATCAGAGAATATGATAGATTTATTTGTTGTATATAGAAGGTTGGTTCAACTATAGAGTCAACCGTTGATTTCATAGCAAAACCGTCAAAATTATATTATAATTTGGTATATAAAATATATATAGATTGTGGATCTTTAAAAGGCTGGATAATTTCCAATTTCATTAGCACTATAAAATTAATTAGAACCAACATTAATAATGCAAGTTCGAATAACCTATACATCAATCAAGTGTCTGATATACCCTTGTGGCCCTACCCGGCTCGATTCCGGATTAGTCGGTTCCCCTGTGGATCCGGAAACCGGAAGGTCCCTGTACCAAAAAAAAAAAAAAAAAAAAAGAATAATAGAATCAATTATTTTTTTAATATGGTAACTTCTCAGACCATTTTTCATGTTTCCTTGACAAGCACCCATTCACAATTTAAACAAATTTTCATAAATTCTCACACCCCTTATGAAAGATTGCCTCACTTAGACTATATAGACAAACTCGCACACAAAAATAAATTAATTAGCACTATCATCAATTAACTCATTCAAATACATATATATATCATATATCAATATCCTAGCCCAATTAATGGGGAGTCGTGGTATTAATTATGTGTTGGCAGCAGTATTGACGGCAATGGTGGTGGCTGTGGCGGTCGAGGAAAACACGAATGTGCAATGTATGAGAGAATGCTACTTCGACTGCACACAAATAAAAATTTTCAGTGAGAGCGAATGCAAGAAAGAATGCGTGCTTGGGTGCCCGAGGTACTTCGTGAGAAAAGACGCGGCCGAGGAAGAGGATGATAATAACAAGTTCTTTCCTTTGTGGATTTAGTATATTATTATTATGAATATATTTATTATATATTAAGAAGATGGTTTTATTTGTTTGCCTATATCATTGATTTTTGTGGTGTGTGTTAAATTTGTGTTGGTGGAAGGATGGGATATTATTTGTGAACTGGTTAGAATCATTTCATTTCATATATATTATATATTTCCATATAAATCTTAATCTTATATATTATTTATTATCAATTTTGTATTAAATTTGGTAAACTAAAAACGAGAGCGATATAGAAAAGGGGAAACACTATGGTCCCGTTACGGAATTATTTCATCGGGGTTTGTAACCGTTAAATTATCTTGTAACTGTCAGAATAGTCGATATAACGGTTCCAAACCCGGATGGAATGAATCGCAACGGAATATTAGTATCTCCAATATAAAAAAGCTTACTTAGCTCACAAGATAACGCTGTGGCCATAATTTCTACTCTTCAAATAAATAGGATAGCTCAGCCAGTGTTACACTTCAGCATTTACATAATTACAGAATAGAAAGGCAAAATTGGATAAACCTAATTGATGGCTTATTCTTCCACGCTGCGCCGTGCCGGAGGATTTGCCGGATTTTCTAGTTATTTAATTTCTGGAAAATGGAGTCGCGACTGTAATAATTGGTTTTTCGAAGAGGCATGAGCTCGGCGACGCTGATCTCGCCGGAAAAAATCAATTCATCTTCTTCTTCTCGTTGGCTGATGCTGCAACCCGTATATGAATCCGGCGCCGCCGCCTGCACGACCGCCACCACGTTTACATACAAATTCTACAACCTGGCCGAGAACAGGGTCGAGACCCGTGGGTCCCACAAATCCCCGGCGACCTTATGAAATTCCGGGGTTCCTCAGGCGGCGGCTGGCTATCCCTTGTGCGGCGCAAAACCCGCGATCTGTTACTCTACAACCCCATATCCCGCCGCTGCATAAAGCTCCCACCTTTCTACGGCCAGCATGATTATCTACGTCTCCTTAAGTCTATCCTGATCTCTCCCTCTCCC